AATGTTACAGAAAATATACAGTATTTGAAAAACACAGGGTGTAAGCAAATAATTTTGCATAAAACTGGTGGATTAGGAAGTACTTATATGTTTTACTTTAAAACCCAAATAAAGATTATATAAAGTATAACTATAGGAATAAAACATTGACAGGAAAATATCAAAACATTGTATTTATGGAAGTTATTTCTGGATAATGAGATTCCAGGTGGCTTTAATTTTCTTTTTACTTTGTTTTTTCTTAATCAACTTGTACTACTTTCATGATTAAAATATAAGTAGGAAAAATATTTAAATTAGATATTAATGCTCATCTAACAAATTGTCAAAAAATTTGAAAGTTAATTCTTAGTGCATTCAAACACAGTATGAAATCACCACTCTCACTCTTTGCTAATGGGTATATATGTATTATCAGTACAACTCTTCTGGAAAGCTTTTTGGTCATCACAAACCTTAAAGTATATTTATATCTTAGATGATTACTTCTTAGAATCCATACTGAGAAACATATGCAGAAAAAAAATCAGAAAAAAATTTTTTTACTGGGATGTTCAACTTAAGCATTATGGTATTAAAATATGGGCCCCCCCCAAAACCCCAAAAGTTTAACTGCAAAGGAGAATGATTAAATAAATGACATGTTCTTAAGAAGATAACATTTGAAACATTTTTAATGGTGTAAGAAAATCCTTAGTGTGTGTTGAAAGGGGAAGAGAAGGTGGAACACAAAGCTCTATAAAAAGTCTAATTCCAATTGTATGAGAAAAAGATATGTATTTTAAGAACCAGACTCCGAAGAAAGATAATTCCATGATATTATTTAATCTTCACAATAAGAGACACATTTATTAACATGTGTTAGGTTCCAGAGACCTTAATATTTGGTTAACATAGGGACTCAGCCTTGGCACTCTCACTCTGCCAATATTGTGAGACCCATCAAGTTATTTAACCACACTGTGGTTTGGTTTCATCAGAAAAGAGCCATGAAATACTTCTTCATAGGAGTGTAGTAAGTATTAAGTGCGTTAATACAGGTGGAACACTTAGAACAATGCTTGACATGAGTTATTAAACTACAATGGAGTAAACCAGCAGAAATCTAAGCTGAGGCCTGAATTTTTTAACAAAGCTGAGCCAAACAAAAGGTAAGGGGTGGAGGTGCTAGGGAAAAATGTTCACGACAAGCAGGGAGACCTTGAGATTTCCTATGTATTTCTTACACACACATAGCAATTTGATAATTATCTTAAAGGTGGAATGCTCTGAATGTTCAGAATGTGCTATGGGTTTTGCTAGTTCACGATGTGTAAGAATTACTGTCAGTGTTGTGGCACATGATCATAAATGCTATGCTTTATTGGTGATTATTCCCTATTTTCATTTTAGAAAAGTAAAATGATCCTGCCAAATAGAAAAATTAAAGAGAGAAATATCATACTGAATTACCAAGACACTAGATATATTGTGGGATGAATTTTTTTTTAAAAAATACATCACATTCTCAATTGTTGATAATTTTGCTGAACTGTTAATAGTGAAACAGCAGCAATGATTATAACATTTTTGATGAATCACAACATTATAGCTTTGTAATGACATGAGAATTTTATATGCTATAGGTCCATGAGGCATATCAATCCCTAAAACACATGAAGATTTTTTAGAAAATTTGGTATATTTGAGATTCAACACTAGGATTCAATATTTTTGGTGTAAATTTGGAATCCTGATGTAATACATTTTTGTTATTTACTGACCTTGTTACTTAACACTCTGAATTAAAGTCTACCACTGAATGCTCTGGACACACTATGGACTACCCACTCCCTGATTTCCTGCCAGGACCCTTGGGAAGTGACTCCCACCCAACCCTACCTACAGGCATTTTATTGTGCCCTGCCTTATTGCCCTTCACAGATCTTGGAAGACCCTCCACAAGCAAAAAGATCACCACTCACTTTATTGTAGTGGTTTGGAACAAAACCCACAATATCTCCAAGGTCTCCCTGTAATTGAATACTGCCTTTGAGACCTGGAATGTAGCCCTCCCCAGTACCTGACTTTACTTCTTCTCTCCTGTCAATGATCACATTTGATCCAGCACTATGTTCTACTGCTTCATAATCTTTCTCTCTTTTTTTTTTTTTTACAGGTCAGGGGCCTTACATAGCACTTAGATTGAAACTAAATAACTATTTGCACAGGGAATAGTAGTTTACCAGTCCTAAATGAACAGCAACTGAGATTAGTTTACAATCCTAAATTCTAACACCAAAACACATTCTACTACCTAACTTGTTTCTTTAAAATTGCAATAAAATTAGAATGAAAGTAGAATCTTCTGGATTTATATACAAGGACAATGGAAAACACTAAGGGTACAAGATGGTATAAAATGGCATAAAAAGCTATAAAATGAGAGCAACACTTTTACATCTGTCACAAAAATTAAAATTAATGTAGAAATGATTGTTGTCTGCTAAAATGAAGAGAAAGTAACCCAATTATAGAATGAGAAAAGTATTTAGAAAATACAATTTCACTTAACCACTTGGGGTCTAATGTGGCAATATAATTCATGAAAACATAGATCCAGAGAAGTCATTAATATAAAGGCTATTTTTATTAGTTTTGTAATTAAAACAAAAATGTAGTAAAAGGAAGTAACTAATAAAAATTGTCATCAGTATACAGACATTCCAAGTTTCTGATCCTTTAATATTTTCCATTATAATAAAATAGTTTCATTAGACTTCCATTATTAAATGCAAGCTAAAAAATGGTGGCTTTTTTTTGTAGTCATTTTATTTAAAAGTTCATTTTACTTTGCTTATAGTGTTTAAGTACTTTTGTAATGACCAGATGCTACAGGCAGAATTTTAACTTACTTTGAAAAGTAAAGCCCACCCTTAAATTAAGTAAAAATACCCAATTAAACACTTTGAATTATAGATATACAGTCAGTTACTAGACTATTCTAATATTTTTAGGGTACCTTCAAGTAGACACATTTAGGTAACTTAAAATAAGATTGCCAAATTGGAAGAAAGGTGAAGAGAGAGAAGTCTGAAACAGGCATCTTCCTCTGGTTATCAAAATAATTTCCCAAATATTTGGTACCATTATCATTTTTTAATCTTCACCCAAGGATATGTTTATTGACTTTACAGAGAGGAGGAGAAAGAGAGAGAGAGAGAGAGAAACACAGATAGGCTCCATCTCCTACCCACACTGACCAGGAATGGAACCCAAAACCTAGGTATGTGCCCTGACCATGAATGGAACCCACGACCTTTTGGTGCAGGGGAAGAGGCTCCAACCAACTGAACCAACTGTCCAGAGCTGATTCCACTATTTTTGTTTATATTTAAACATCAGATAACACCAATATTAAAAAACTGCTACCAAAATTAATTGTATATGTAAGTGATCAAGTAAATAGAAGTTATACCCATTGAACCCTAAATACATTAAGAGTTTAAAAACATAAAGATACCTGCAAAAAGCACGTATGCGTGACCCACAGTCATGAACAAATGGTGTGGGGATTGCCTAAAAGAGTGGTGGGGCTGGAGGGGGGCAAAGGGGAAAAATTGGGACAACTATAATACCATAAACAATAAACATAATTTAAATTAAAACATAAAAATAATTGTGTTTGTGACTTGTGGTTCTTGGAAAGTCTGAAAAATGTGTTTGAGGCATATCCACTGTTTTCTGTTTATAATATGAATTAGAAAAATATGACGAAATAAGAAATGAAAAACTTTCCCAAATTTCTAAATATACGTAGCCCTAAGTATTTTTTGCATCTATTCTAAGATGGTCAAAAACAAACAAAAAAGATCTGAATCAACAAGGGCCTTGGAGGCCTGGGGATATTCCAATAGTCTTACAACCAATAGGAAAACTTGCACTAAATCTGAATTAGCATTTCATCTCTTTATCACAAAACACAGAGCATGAACCAGGACTGTTATCAGTTACAAAAAAGGCAAGAAACCAAGTTAGAGTAATCTGTACTTGAAAGGTAAAGCTGTTTTTTAAGGCACTTAAAAGGGGTGAACGATGAGGCAGTCTAGGGAAGAAAAGCGGGATTCATGTCTTGAAGTTATATTTGTAATACGTCTCTGTATGGAGTTAAAAATGTAAACCAGCCCAGCTAACATGAACACTGGGTGAAAATGGAAATTCAGCTGGTACTGAAGCGTGAGGGGCTTGTACCGGAGGGACAAGATAGGGTGAGGAATTTTCTTTAGGGCCGGCCTGAGGGCGGTGGCAGTTTGGATGCAGGGATGGAGGGATAATAAAAGCTAATGGCTGAGGCTGGAGATGTGGGATGTAGCCTCAGCACACGAGCGCGCGAGGGTCTGAGCCGCAGGAGCAGGACTGTGGGTCGGTTTCCCTCTGGGGCGCCCGAGCTCGCCTCCATTTTCGGCGGCGGCCGCTGTGCCCTGGGGCGGGCGGGAGTGGACCGGTGCCCTAGGCCGCGGGGGCCGAGGAGACCGGCCTCACCTCTCCCCAGATCCCAGCGGTGCTCCGCCGGCCCCGGCGGATGCACTCGGCTTTTCCCTCGGCTCCACCGGAGCCCCGGGGGTCGCGGGAGCTCAATGACTCAACCCCGGGGCGTCGGACTCCCCCGGGGCCTGGAGATCACTGGCCCCAGTTCCTCCGCCCAGCACTCGGGCGCGGCCTCCCGGCCCGAGTCCCTGCCCTCTCCCGGCTCCCTCGAGACCAGTACTCACCGCAGTGGGCCCTCTCCACCCCCTTCCCGAGGGGCATACCTGCGGAACCGCTACTCGGCGTCGCCGACCACACGAGGAAGCGGTGAGCGGTCGGCGGCGCCCGCAGCAACTGCGGCCACCTCGATCTTCCCCCTGGGCCTGGGCCGGGGCCCCCGCGCCCCCGCGCCCCCGCGCCCCCTCCTCGGGGTTGCACAACTCACTCCCCACACGCGCGCGCGCACACAGGCTCAATCGTGTTGCTCAACCTACTTGCAATCTCTTCTCAGCAGCCATCACTTTGCCCGGGAAGCCGGGGCAGCCCCGGGGCCCTCCAGCGGCCGGCCGTCTCTCGCCTCAGCCCAGGGCCGCCGCTAGGGCGCCTGGTGAGCGGGAGGCCCCCCCCATGCCGCCCGCCCGGCCACACGCCGGGGCCCGGCTCTGGCGCGCCACCCGCGCCGCTGCCCTGCGGGCGAGAGCGAACCGGACTGTCCCGCCTGCCTACTGGCTCCTCCACCTCCCGCCTGCTGCCGCCGCCGCTGCCGCTGCGTCGTTTCCTCCTCCCCTTCCCTCTTTTCCTTCTCCTTCGTCTCCTCTGAAGCCGACGTCGGCAAACCAGCACCTGCTGCTGGAGATCACCGAGAACTGAAACAGGAAACCCTGAGCGGAGGGGAAAACCCGGGAGGCGTGGAGCGCAGTGAGGGGAGCTGCTGGAACCTGTCGGGCTCGACTCAGCCGCTGGGGCTATCTAAGGTTCCAGCGCCTCCTCTCTTCGTGCCCATTCCCCAACCCGGCCCAGCTCCGGGGTCCCCACCTCCCCTCGCCAATGCCCCAGCGCCTGTCCGCTCCTCGACATCTTCTTCACCCAGCGATAACACGGATCATCCCTGGGCAGTCAAGGAAATCGAGAGTCTGCCTTCTTAAGGCAAGTTTCCCGTGGTTGTTTCTTAATATCAATAAACCGTAACAAGGAAAAATCACAACCGGCATTATCAAGACCAATAAAAGAACTTAAATGAAGCTGTTGGGATTTCTTCGAGGGGAAGGACTTCTTTCAGCAAGGAAATTGGCCTTGTTGGAAATGGCAACACATCAAAATCGAGGTTAAAGCCAGGACAAATCTAGATCTCTTTCAGGAGTTTGGGAGGAGACGGCCTTTTCCACTGAGGTGGGCTCCTGAGTTGTGTGAAAATCACTGGCAGCAGAGAACTGTCACCTCTGTGAATTATACAATACCCAGCACAATCTAGGTCAACAATTCAGAAGTGTTCAAATAATCTTATTCACCGGTTTGTGGACTTGTCACCAGGTGCTTCACTCCTAGCCTTGGGCAGTATGCATCAGCTTTTAGAGAGGGAAGGGGAATTATGTGGATTGTGCCACAGACTAGGTAGCCCGATGTAACTGCATTATCTCACTTAAGGTTCACCACAGCCTTGTGAGCTAGGTTATAATCCCCTTTAGCAGTCAGAAAATTGAGGTTAGAAAAATTTCCCAACATTACACAGTTTCAGATGTTTGCATCCTGAGCACATACTTGTTTCGCTGGAACAGAGTTCATGCCTTGGATAGCACTTTTTTACTTTCAATAAAATTTCTTCCCTCTCTGAATAGTTTTCAATAGAGCATTTATGGTTTATGCCTGGATTTGTTGAATATGCTTGGTCTATTTAATGGTAGTGATACCCTTGATACTTACTGTGGCTCAAACTCGATGTTTTCCAGTTTAATGTTCTTTTTCTCTCTGTTGCTCTTTAGCTATTGATGATGGGGTCCCAGCTGAGAGCATTCTCCTGGCTGGTGCTATCAGCATTCTCACTGCTTGGGAGATGGAAGGGGAGCTTCTCACCAAGTCTGCTCTCCACTTCGGTAGGCCAGTCTTGGGGTGTAATAATTAGCATAGCTGGCTCATAGACTTCATTTTGAGCATAAGAAAGCCCTCTGGTCCACATTTTTAGTACCATCTTTAAGACCCTTAGGAAGTCTGGCAACCTGCTCTCTGCAGCCAGGCCTGTTTTGATTGGCAGGTAGGGAAGCATGCTTTGGGAAAGTACCTCCAGTTTACTAAACCAAACTCTCAAAAGTCTCTTGAACAGTATTAGGAAGTGGTGGGGAATTAGAAGGAGCCTGGCTGGCTGGCTGGCTGGCTGGCTGATAACAATAAGTGATGGTATCTTTGGCATGATTTTTGCAAAGCCAGAAATTCCCCTCTACTCCTCAGTATACTGCCCATGCAGCCTACTTTATTCCCCTCAGTCAACAATTAAATTCCATTGACTAAACATAGTTATAGAGCAAGGCACTATATGAGGTCCTTCACAGTAAGAGACATGTGTAATTATTATAATTGCTAAAATTTAGTGAATGCCTACTATGATCTAAGCACTTGGATATGTTCTCTCATGCAGTGCTCCCAAAATCCCTGTGAGAGAATAACTATCACTATTTCCATTTTACAGATGAGGAAACTGAGACCAAAAACACAATCAGTAAGTAACAGAACAATGATTGAAATGTAGGCAGTCTGATTCTAGAATCAGGAACCATTACATGAATAAGATACTGCTCTTAATTACCAGCTACTGTGTAGTTGGGGAGATAAAAACACAGACAAATTAAAAAGAAAATGAGAGAATTTATAAGTGTTAACTTTGTGTCATGGGTAAGAAATACAATGAAGGGTCATTCAGAGGACAGAGGAGTCTCTTTAGGTTGGAGTGGTTGGGAAGTCTATACAGATGATTCTGAGTTTCAAAAAGGGGAAATTTAAGCTGGGCAATGATGAGTAATATTTTGATAAGCAGAGAGGATAAGGAAGGGCATATCAATGAAACTGCATAAACCAAGAGAGAATGCCAGGGAGAAAAGGAAAATAGGGATTAAAAAAAAAGCTGTAGAGCTTTAAATTACACAGACTTGAACAAAGAGGGAGAGGGAAGAAGGGAAGAAGAGAGAGAGTTGGAGGTTATACAGTGTGGACTCTGTGAAAGGTTTTAAACAGAAGGTGACATGGAGAATATCCTATTTTAGGAAAACCAGCATTGTGATGGTTATCAGATGGCTTGGAAAGGGGAGAGATTGAAGCAGGACACAAGTTTAATGACCTATATGGAAGCACTGACATGAAATAATGAAGTAAACAGTGAGAAAGAGAAAAAAAAACATGTTAGTGAGCCCCTGTGGCTTAACAATCAGCAAGTTTTTGTTGAATGATTGGATGAACTTGATGGAGATGAAATTAAGAAAAGGGAGAAGCCCAAAATGACTTAGTGGGTGTGACTGTGAAGCCTATAGTATTACTGAGTGGAAGCCTATAGTATTACTGAGTGAGTATTACTAAAGGGCAAGTTTAGAGGCAGAGGAACTACCTTTTTTGGCAAATGTTTAGAATAATTTGGTTTCAGACATATATTTGTGGTAATAGTAGGTTATGAATGTGGAAATATATATTATAGTGTTATCTAGAAAGGGCAAATGGTTGGGTAAATGAGGCTTTTATTTGCTATTGAGAGAGTATGAAAATTATAAGTGATAAGTATTAGAGTTGAAAGAAAATTTATGAGATAAATGAACATTAGGGAATTCCTCTTTTCTTTACTCCAAGTTATATTTGCTTAAAAAGAAAAGAGAATATATAAGAAAGAAATTTCATGGACTCAGAGAAAGTAAGGCTGGTGAAAGAAAAGTTAGAAATCATTTAATCTGACTCTGCTTTTCATTTTGCAAATGGTAAAACTGAGGATCAAATTTTCAGTGCCTAATAGCAAAACTTCAAAATAGTCATCAGCCAAGTATGATACATTTGTTATTACCAACTCTATATAGCCAACTGGTATTTGAGTTATAATATCGAATCCAGACCTTGAATTATGACTTTGAATTGCACATAATTTGAAATTTTGAGTGGCTGTGACTCCCTAACAGGCAAACCTTGAACAGCCTCACTAGTTAAAAGCAAGTTCTTTGAAAAGAATAGGTTGGGGATGGGATGGGAGGGAGAATGATTGCAAGGGAAGCACTTCTTTTTAAAATATAGCACCGTGGTAGACTACCACAAAACTAGATTCACATTTGAACCTTAAAAAACAAAGTTTCAGGTGCCCAGAACATCCTACCTTGATGCCTCAACCTAGAACTTCTAATTGCCTGGGCCACCTGATCTAAGACCTCCAGGGACTAACTGTAGGTCACCCTCATGTTCAAAGCTGACACACACCCCTGGCAACTGCTTCTAGTTCAATCCACAGCTTTACTAGCAGCGTCTTGAGCAGTTTTGTCATTGAACATGTGTGAAGCCAGTGGCTAAGCTTGGGGGTGCAAGAAAATAATTTCTCTTGTTCTCATGTCTCCTGCCTCTGCCATTTCTGCCAAAACACTTACCTTAGTTGAAACAATGTCAGAAGTCCTTCAGAAGCACCTTTATCTTCAGCTCCTTGGCCAGCACTTAATTTCCTATAGTTGAAGAACTTCACTCACATAGCCAAGTGACTACTGTGATTTTTCACGCACAGTTTCTTTATGTTTTTCAGAAAAGTTCTGGTTAATTCCAACAACCTATGAAATGTAAGATTTCTTTAATACCATTATTCTAAACAACCATTTCCTAAGCACATGACCTATGTAAAACAGATACATAGGGATAACATTGGTTCTTGACCATGTGCTTTAGTGACTGGTTAGAGCTGCTTCTTAATACCAAGTTCTTAGGGAAAGGAAACTAGAGTATATGAGATGTGTGCTGCTGACCAATCCCAGAGCTTCTTTCTTTTGATGAGTTACCACAAGATTCCACACTAGCAGCATGACTCTTTTTCAGCATTTGTGGGAGGCCACCAGAGAGCCAGAACAACACAGTTTCAATATGCTTGTGTTGTGCAGTCATGTGCTTGGTTTTCTACCTGAATGAGACTTCATGGCTGCCCTGTTCTCACTGCATTTGGCCAACACAGGAGTTTTGAGAAAAATTAGCACTTAATATAGAATAAAAAGTTGTTCCTAAGGTGGCACTTTGCCATCTTGACAAGGACAACACCTGTCATTGCAGTTCACGCTGCTCAGAAGTTTTGAAATTGTTATTTCAACATAGAATTTGAGGCATACTGCTGTAAGCATCTGTTGTTTTTAAAAGAAAATTGGCATGTAGAATTACAAATGCACAAAACTGAGAGAGTTGAAAATTTCCTGGCTAGAGTGCATTTTACATTAAAAGGTTATGTCACAAGAATATTAATTGCAGCATTATTTGCAGAAGCAAAAATTAGAATCAACCTAAATGTCCATTAATAGAAGACTATTTACATAAATTATGGTATCTTTATACATTAGAATGCCATTTACCTACTAAAAAGAATGAAGTGACTTTATCCGTTTGGAAATACACTTTAAGATCCATTGTTTATTGGAAAATTAAGGTGAAAACCAGTGTATGTAGTAAGTTACCATTTGTGTAAAAAAAGAGAGTATCTCTGTATTTGCTTAAATATGGATATAATATCTCTGGAAGGACACACAGGAAACCAGTAACAGTGGTTGTTCTGGGCTGAGGAACTAGATGACTAGGAAGAAAGTGTTAAAGAGAGATTCGCTTTTTACTCTATATCCTTTTATAGCTTTTGGATTTTAAATTGGGTATTTGAATAAGCTATTTAGAAAATATTTTTAAAGTCTACATTTATTGGTGATGTGTGCTATTGTTCATGCCTTTCTATTTGATTCTGTAAATAAATATTTATTGTTTTTTTTTTCAAATAGCACCATAAGGAAGAGGAAGTTGTGGGAGTCCTATGAGTTGCACATGTGAAGTCTGGGGCTTCCCAGACAAAGGAAAGATTTCTATGATCATGTGGAAGGGGAGATCCCATAATTGCTAAAGGATTCCCAGCCAGCATTAATGGTGTTAGTCACAGATTTTACGACTTGTCAAAAGTTCCAAATGCAGATTCTAAAAGATTTTTGATGGGAACTGGCTTAACTAAGGGGAACATTCAGGGAAGTTCCCATCAGCAGACAGGAGCTCTATGTGTCTTGCTTTCTGCAGCATCCCCAGCTGTGCTGTGTCTGGCACATGGAAGTCACTCAGGTTGATTCCAGACTTCTGGACCATAACACTCAGTGATTCTTCAGCTTCCGGGTGCTTATTTAGGCATTAATCTGTTAGAAAGTAGTAAAAACATGGCCATGGGAGGAAGGATTCAAGATTCCAGTTTCTGAAATAGTGGGCAAAGCAGAATTCAAATCTCAAAGGAACTGAGGAGTTAGAAAAATATGTATGGGGTAACAAGCCAAGGAACTTTATTGCTGAACCAGCAGAACCAAATAGGGTCATGGCTTAATAAAAGAAAAAGTAACCAACCAGCAAACAGATTAAATAAAAACAATTCCCCCAAGCAAATAACAAACATCACAAAAATAAAATGGAAGGGATAGTTACCTAATTAGGGCTATAGTTCACAGGATAAGCAGGGTTATCAGCAGAGCAGGTTAGCTGCTGAGTCACTATATCCCCAGAGAGCTGGGTGGCTGTGGTGGGCAAGCCATTGACTAAGGGTCTAGGTTGGCTTCAGAGTCTAG